GGGCCTGGGCCTCTCCGCTTGAACGAAATTTCCCCCCCCCCCCTTCGGGCTGGGCTGCACCAGTGGAATAGCTCTAAGAAATAATGTAAAAGGTGAGGAGTTCAACACATGACATGGTCGCCATTGGCCGTAATAAGCTTAATTACATTAATCACTCTTTTATGAAATATAGTAATTTTAAGAATTAAATATTTTTGTTGTTGCCAAAATTAGAAAAAAAAGAGGGGAAACTTACACACACGGGTATCATGGGAACTTGAACTCAAAACCCTTTTAGAGCACACCAGGCTATTGGTAGAATTGAAAGAACCTTCAACTAGATGGAGATTTCATCGGTTGAATGCTTAGCATAATTATTCTTCAATAACAAGTGCATAGACTTTGTAAAATGAAAGTAGTTAATTAAACTTGGAACTTGAGCTTTCTAACTACTATTTTTTGTGTGGAGTGATTTATCCAAATCTCAAACTATATTATTCCTTCAGTCAGAATATATGTAAAAGTTGGGGACATACCCCATGTCTTCAAGGTTTTTCATTTTTTATTTTTTAATGATTTTTTTTTTAAAGAGATATATTGAGAAAAACGAATCAAACTTGTGACTTTGAATGTAAGGGTAAGTGTTCTTAATCACTTGAGCTATAAGCCATTGTCCATGTCTTCAAATTTTGTAGGGTGTGGTGGTTGCTAAAGGATAACGTTAGGGTTTCCATAATATCATACCTTATAGGAGAAGATCATATACGTACTAGGTCAATATTTATCTCGTCTTCTCCACCTAGTGCATTATACCACTCAATTATGATCGATTATAGTACTTTGTTGATCACTACTTCCTGGATCAAGGTAAGGAACCATATATATCATGCGAAGATAATAAATTACCTAATGCTTAATCCAACCTTAGCATAGCTATACTATAAACCGCCACTAAATCGGAAAAAAAAAAATTATCATTTAAAAGCGAGATTACCGTTGAAGACTAAGTGTCCCTTTATGAAGGTGTTACCGTTAAAGACGAAGTGTCCCTTTATGAAGGTGTGAAATAGACATTACCGTTGGAGGAGTGAGTAAAGCTTTTGTGTACACAAGGGGTTGGAGTAGGTTTGTGAAAGAAAACATTTTGAAGGCAAAAGATGTTTGGTCCATAAGGAGGTCAATGAGTGTAAGGATATGCATGCACAAGTAAAATTGGAACCAAATTTTGGGGAAGGTGGCCAGCCAAAGAAATATGCATCACAAGGATTCTAAAGTCTATGTATAAATAGATTAATTTACTAATTTATGTAGTTCGCTAGTTTTGATCTTTTTTTTTACCTTCTAAGATTAGGATATAAATAGATTAGTATACCCAAATTAACAACAGCTTCCGGTGTAGCTCATTAAATTATCTAAGGTTGAGATCCCAGGTTCAACTCCTGGCACCGGAATTATTTTTTTAGATTATTCTACTAATTTCTACACTTTGGCTCTTTTGTCTCTTATATTTTTTTTTTCCTTTGATTAACTACAAAATTAATCGCTATATTATCTGCCAATTTTATTTATATTTCTAATACAAAAATTAATTACTATGATTACCGGCACTGAAATTATTTTCAATGGACAAAATAAATGCCGACAAGGATAACCTCTATGAAGATTACTGTTCTTTGTTGTCATTTTTATTAAAGAGGATGAAATAAATCTATACATGAAGCTTCGGTAGCAATCAGAAAAATTCTTTCAATGAATATGAGAAAATAAAAGCAAAAACCAGTAAAATCCGAAAGCCAAAACATCAACATAAGCAGCAAGTCAACTAAAACATAACATTCAAGCCAGTATTGCAACTTAAAACCTTTTTGTATATCCACATGCTTCTTTAAACATTATAGATATTTAATTTGTATAAAACAACGGAAATTCTGTATAATTTGGAGCCGAGTTAAAATATGTCATGTGTTATATATGAATGATGTCGATATATATGCACGTGACATGGAAGTCCCCGCTTGACACCATAAACATGAGAGAATGAATAATAGAACTCCGTTCACATTGTTCTTGATCTGTAAGACTTTGTTACTTACACGAATCTTACACCATTTGGACTTTAGTTTCTAATTTAGACTTAAAGCTAGCCAGTTTTGACCATTTTAACAGTAGTGTTATATATGGATATGTCATATGACGGTCTAAGACTTTATGGGGTGGTTTGGTACCGACTAAATATTGGACTGTCTTAAATTGGTTTGACTAAAACTAAATTTTTTGACTCTTCTTCTCTCTCTTTCCTCTTCCTCCTCTTCTTCCTAGTATTTCTCTCTGCTTCTCTTCTTCTTCTTCTCTGCATCTCTCTCATCTTCTTCTTCTCCATCTTCTTTCCTCTTCTTCTGTCTACTTTTCTCTTTATTTATTTATTTTCAGAAATTTTCTCTACTTCCTCTTCTATTCTGTCTTCTCCTTTTCCTCTTTTTTTTTTTCGAAAATTTTATCTTCTCTCTTCTCTTCCTCTTCTATTTTGTCTTCTCCTTCTTGGGTGGTTGTGTCTGGTGGTCGTGTCTGGTGGTTGTGGCTGCTGGTTGTGGCTGCCGCTTTGGGGGTCGGCGGTTGTGGGGAGCATGGGTGGGGTTGGTCACTTAAAATTAGAACCGGGTGAAACAAACGTGAGATAAAATCTTAGCCAAGCCAGTCCATGCCTCCACGGTGTAACAACCTTCATCAGCTAAATTATTGTTTTTCATTCTTTGAATCTTGAAGATGAACACCCAAGAGCTGGAACGGCAATCCAGAGGTTAGTTTGCTTAAAAAGACGATTTTCGATTTTCGTCCGCATGCCTAGGCTGATTGAGCTTTCTGCAGTAATTATGATATTGTCTATGTTCATCAAGTGTTTGATAAATTGTGTTCAAATAGTTTTCCAATACCTACTTCTATGTATAATGTACATGTGTTCTTTTAACCAGTTGAGAACCAGAGACCAGATTCACCTAGAGAAACCAGCCTACATTCTTCTCCCAACGGGCCAAAGCTTCCCAATTACAGGTGGTGGCTTCGGGTGATCATCTACATCCTCTTTCTTCTCACAGGCCAATCTGCAGCCACCCTCTTGGGAAGACTATACTATGACAAAGGTGGCAATAGCAAATGGATGGCAACGTTTGTTCAATCAGCAGGCTTCCCAATTCTTCTTCCTCTCCTCTGTTTTTTCCCATCATCAACCAAGTTAACCACAAACCCTGTTCACAGCACTACTTCCTCTGCAACCAAAATACCGAAGCTCTCTACTCTTGCCTTGCTCTATCTCGCGTTCGGTCTACTCTTGACCGGAGACAACATGATGTATTCGTATGGCCTTCTGTATCTCCCAGTCTCCACTTACTCTTTACTATGTGCAACTCAATTGGCCTTCAATGCATTTTTCTCCTTCTTTCTTAATTCCCAAAAGTTCACTCCTTTTATACTCAACTCTTTAGTTCTCGTTACCATGTCTGCATCGCTTCTCGCAATCAATGCAGACTCCGAAAACAATACCAATAATATCCCCAAAGGAAAGTATGTGACTGGTTTCCTATGCACACTTGGTGCCTCTGCTACTTACTCATTGTACCTTTCCCTGGTACAACTTTCGTTCCAGAAGGTTATAAAATCGGAAACATTTTCGACTGTTTTGAACATGCAAATATACCCATCATTTTTTGCAACATGTGGTTGTGTAGTTGGACTTTTTGCAAGTGGGGAATGGAAGGGTTTGGAAAGTGAGATGCAGGAATACAAGCAAGGAAGGGTCTCTTATATAATGACTCTGTTTTGGACTGCTGTGACATGGCAAATTTCCTCTGTGGGTTTGTTGGGGTTGATTTTTGAAGTGTCTTCTCTGTTCTCCAATGTCATCAGTACTTTGGCTCTGCCTCTTGTTCCCATTCTTGCTGTAATATTTTTCCACGATAAGATGGACGGGGTGAAGGTGATGGCGATGTTGTTGGCCATCTGGGGCTTTCTTTCCTATATCTATCAGAATTATCGAGATGTCTCAGAATCGAAGGCAAAAGAAAGTAATGACAATTAAATTTCAGGGACTGCTCTATAGGTTTATTGATTTGAGATTTCAATGAGAATTCATAGTCAACTACACTTTGTTAGAAGCCGATTTTCAATGAGAATTCATCAGACTATTTCAGGAGCATGAACTTATTGATGCCCTGATGCATCATCCCTCCAAGGGTTTGATGTGATGTTAGCTTCTGAAGCATGCTGTTTCTCTGTCATTATAGAATCTTCTGCTTTATACTGGATTTGGACAAGTATTTTTTTCTTTGAGAAGATAAAGAATATTTGCTAATTGCAGAAAGAAAAGAAAAATAAGAGTGAACCACGACGATTGATCGTGTGTGAAGATGCAGAATAACTGATGGATCCTCATAATCTAGGGTTTAGATTAGTGCCTATGGTTAGATTAGCAAGATAAATTTAACGAAGACTGGAAATGGCGCTACTTTCACCATGTTAACCACAACGCCAACATAGAATTCAAAGAAAGAAAAGTTTAGATGTCGGGGGCCAATATTTTTTTTTAACTTTATAATAACATGTCCGCGCCTAGAAATATTTACATGCAAGGAATTGTTATACAATTACATAAATATTTTTAGGAGGATAACCCCCTTTTGCCTTACCAATTGCAAATTCCCAGTTGAGCTTGCTGCCCCCCCTTCATTCAGCCATTCGATCAAGGTAACATTGTTCTTGTTCGCTTGTCTTTTTAGGGGACGAACTTATCAATATCCATTTGAGTTTGCAGCCGCACCAAGTAGAGTCATTTGCTCAACGTAATCTCATTCCTGTTTTGGAATATTGAATAGATTACTTGAGAGAAATACTGATGTTATGTGCTTGTCTTCATTAGCCACATTCTTAGGAGAGCTTCCTACTTGAGCTTGCAGCTGCCAACACTTATGCCATTTGCTCGGTTCAACCAAGTTCCCGTTTATGAATATTGCATACGCTTGTCTTCCAGGGGGCCTGCTTGTATACTCTGATTAAAACTATTTCTTCCTTGCTTTCAGTTTTAGAGTCACACTCACAAATCAGCTTGTCTTCTGTCGAAATAAATAAATTAAATATCAATATGATAGAAACTTTGGCAAATTTTTTAACAAAGAAGTTCGAGAAAGTTTATAGAAACAAAAACAATGAGTATAAGTATAAAAACTTAATTTGAAACTTTATGAAATACAAAATTAACTAATAAGAATGCATTGATAAACATGTAAATTGCAAAAATAGTATATCGCGATACATATCGCCATAATATATGTTATATATCGACACACTAACGGTTAAATGCATCAATATCTCGATACATATCGCCATAATATATGTGACATCTTTCCACCTCTTACTGATATACAATGGATAAGGACATATTTGAAACCAATAAGATACATAAATAAGAAAATATTTAATCTAAGAGTTGAGATGCAAGTTCTGATAAAACATTCAATTAGGTCCTCTCACTAGAACGCCAATGAAGTATACACACATAATTATGAGAGGTGAAAATGAGAAATAGGATCATATGCATAATTTTCGAGGTTAGACTACGCTTAGGCTAAACCGACATTATTTTAGGGCTTGCGGTCAGCAATTTATGGTTTGGTATATATGGTTTAGATTAGGAAGATAATTAAAAGGAGACCTGAAGATGTTATTTTCGCAATGCTAAGTACATACCAACATAGAATATTGCAAGTTTCATAAAACAAATAATAAGATTTTTTCAGAAAAGATTAGTATGCTTTTCAATTTTATTTTATAGTCCAATGTCCATGCTTAGAAACACTTACATGTAAATTGTTAATAGATTCAATGGCAACTAGTTACCACTTTTGAAGCAATTCTTTTCTCCCAAACTTCTGCTGGGTTGCCACAAATGGCATCTCCGCCATTCTTGTTCATGTATTCTGTACATTGAAAATAGAGGTAGTTAGCAGGAAAAGAAGCATTTCTTATTTATAATGAAATATATACCAATATATATGCATGTTTGTGACAAACACGTGACGAATAATACCTTATAGATGCTGCAGAGATTATTTCATCGTCCTTCTCTAGGATAGCAGTATTTTTACCTTTGAAATCTATCCGAGAGAAGCATGACCTGAAAACGAAAGATTTTACAATCATTCAACACATAATCTCTTGAATTTGGTGGTATTTCTACAACTATAGATTTGGAGCCAATCAGGTATCACCGCGTGTCAAACTGTGTCAGGCGGGAGACAGAAGAAACACAGTAACTTTAGAAAAAAAGAAGGAACAAAGAGAAAATAACTAAGAATTTTTTTGCTCACCCAAGGTTGTATAATACACAGCACACATTTATTCCAATGTTTCTGTCAATATTGGTCTCTATCCAAACCTTAGTTCTGATAAAGCTAAAAGAAAAAAAATAAGCAATTGGTCATAAGTATATCGAAAAAGAATTCAACGTTATAGATTAGAGAGAAAAAGATTAAGAGGATCATGGATATAGACACTAGTTTCTTAATCAACAGTTTATGTAATACCTAATTATCTGGTGAATCACTAATTCGATAACATTGATGCTTAATACAGCCTCTTGAACTAACAATTTCTGTTTGGACTTTCTTCCGTTCATGATCTTGTACCTACTGACGGTGTCTTTCGGAGTCCCCTCCATGCTCGCAAAGTCTCCTTTCAGGAAAAAGATTTACAAATTAATTAAGGTATAAATACATATATATAAGAGAGGAGAGAAGATTATGATGAAAATGAGAGTATCCAACCAGATCTGCTCAAGATGTATATCATGAGGTCAGATTTTTGTTGGCCATACACTTTTTGACACACACACACACACACAAACATGAATGAGAGGGAGAGATATATGAAGTTAGCTAGGGTTTGCTAGCAGGGAGACATGTGAAGCTAGGGTTTGATGGAAGGGAGAGAGAGATATATAAGCTAGCTAGGGTTTGGTAGGAGATGATGGTAGCACAGGGAGCCAAAGATACTACCTGTCACGCAGAAGAAGACGTGCTAGGGGACGACAGGTCGAGACTCTCAAACGCAACGCCTCCACTTCTCCGATGCGGCGGGCAGCTTGTATTGTAGGGTGAGTCGATGGGCTACTATGAGATGGGTATTTATAGGACTACAGGCGATATTACCCAGAGTCACACATCACATGTTTCGTACTTGTGTCTGGCGATGCCTTTTTGGCTTTTGCTCTTGTAGCTGCACATGTTTCGTACTGTTTGGTGTGACAAATAAATTGTAAACGGATAAAGATCAATTTGTTGGGATGTAGGTGGATAATTAGTCGTATCAGGTTCAGGCATGTGTAAATTGGAGCAACCGCAAATAACTCAATGTGTAATGCCTTTTTATCGGCTTTTGACGTTTTAGGTTCGGCTTAGGAACATGATCTTTATTCTATATTGTATTGGTTTTAGCTAGATTTGTTCCTATTTGTTTTCTAGTTTTTTGGCCGGTGCTTTTGCTTGGCTTTGATTGTATTGTTCTCTACCCCTTGGGTTTGCAATGAATTGCAATTTCGACTATAAAAAAAAAAGAAAAAAAAAGAAGAGCCCCATTTTAATTTTGGGTTTGGTCAGGCTGGTGAAAATGTCGACCCCATTTAAGATTAACTTTGCAACTACTCACTCCCATGTTATTATAGTAGCTTTCATTCGATTTTGGAATCTCTTTCAGTTTGAGTTTTGATTTAATATAGGGCTCGAACTTGGTTTGGATTTGGCTCTTGGCTCGTATTAGAAACAAGTCAAGTTGTCCTCGGTTTAATAAAACAAACCAAACTTGAGTTTTAGTATGTTCAGTGTGGAAGCAAGATTTCGCACACATTGATATAATTACATGTGGACAATAACATAAACATGTGCGAGATAGGGATCTGAACATAAACACCCATAGATTATGAAAGGACAACAATGTTTGGTGCATTTACCATTATAAGAGCACCTCCACCATAAAAGGCAAGGGCAAAGCAAAAGGCAAGGCAAAAGGCAAGGCAATGTTTGTCACTATTCACATGAATAGTGGCAGCCATTGCCTTTTTTGTTTCTACCCCAAAAGGCAAGAGCAATTACTATTCACTTTAATTGATTTTCTATTTTTTTTAATACTTAAACCATTAATTTTGGCTTGGGAAGTAAAGAATATGACTAGATATTTATTTATTTTTTTAATCTAAAATTTTTGGTGTTTTAAAAGATTTTATTTTATTTTATTTTTTTTGTTGCTGACGTCATTAATGGCGTCAGCAAACCCAGGCAACAGCCCAGGCAAGATTTTCCTTTGAGTCTGCCCAGGCTTATGGAGCCCATAAGCTGCCTAGTCTTCTGTTGCGCTCTCGAGACCAAGCCCTGGCCCTATGCCCCCTCCTGCCCGGGCAATTTGGGAGCGCTGGAGGTGCTCTAATAGAGCAATCAGGTCACAAATAGAAAGTTCCACAATATTCTGCACATGGGTTAAAGACACCTAACTAATCAGGCTTAATCACATGCCATGACTATCGTTATGTAAGTAATGGCCCAAACATTACACACATTAAATCCATTAATTATCCAGTGGTTGATTCTAATATTGTGGTTGAGGAAGAAGGGTATTATGAGAAGAGAGATTGATTGTAAAATTTAGTATTCTGAAATGATTGTAAAATGGTTAGGTCTTTGAAATTTACATAGAGAATAATTAAGTTGGAGATAAAAATATGGTTCAGATTTAGGGCTGAGGTTGGATTTGGTTGCCCGCGCAATTTGGGTTGAAGGAGGATTCACTGCTCAGGTGTCACTGCCCCCTTTCTCTTTCTCTCTCTCTCTCTCCTCTGGTGATTGAAGCTAATAGTACCAATATTTGACACGACATAATGACACCACCATTTGTGTAAATAATTAGAACCTGATAAAAGCTAGTCAACTAATATTGGGAATAATAGCCTGCAGATTGCAGATTAAGATTGTAGAATAATTTTTCTACGTATTATTGTGTTGTTGATTGAAAATAGCAAACAATACTATCCCTGTTACATGTAAGTTTTTTTGGTTCGTGTTAAAAAACCGCGCTTGGATAGGATGGCGATAGAATTCCTCTACAACGATATAGACGTAAAAGGAAACGACAAATTTTAGGAAAAAGACCAAAAAAGATAAAACGAATCTAAAATAAGCATAAAACACCTCAGCGAACCGGGGAAAAGAAAAAGAAAATGCATTGAG